GGTCGGAGGCGTTCTGCAATACACATGGTATCGATCCCCGCATCCCAGTCCCACCAAGCCTTCCATCCCTCCGGATTCGGCAAATTGATACCACTTTTGTCTGGGAGGATAATAGCACTGGCTCGATACCATTGGTAGGCCGTCGCGAGTCATTGTATAGGCCAGATATACGTTCAGTTATCTCCAACGACGCTTAATGAAGTCGAATGCATGACGTATCCTACAGGGATTGATCATGGCCGAGAGCTTTAGAGCTTTTATAGATGAGTTGGCAGTCATATATGGTTTGTTTAGTTTTGGTTCGGTGCGTGACGAAAATGAAGGGACTATCACGGATTTAATTTCTCGAATATGTGTCATTCTGATACATGTTTATGGTTCTATAGAACTGGGGCACCAGAATGAAGGAGAGTTTTTATGGGTTGAGTAAAACCTAGAATGTAAAGAACTGAGTCACCTTCGTTGTTGTAAGACGAACAAGATGTCAGTGAAACTAGCTTTACTATCGTAGTTCTTTAGATTCCAACCTGAACAAGAAGAATTGTGGGTATAAGTTACAATGATCAGTAAGATTGCAGGGCCAATATACTTATGGCGTTTGCATCTATTGCTGTGATGATGGCTCTGATATCGACGCCACACACACGTGAAAACGAGAAGAAGAGACTTGGATACTTCTTCATTTTCTGTGGAATCTCTGGTACGTTATATACATGTATTTTCACCCTTGGCACAATTCTCCCACCTCCAGTTAGTAAACTCTTGGAGACAATTTATACTGGCGATTATCCGATATGATAAATTCACGACGTTTACCAGTTTTAAATGAGACATTGCAGCAACGTATTTTCTTTTGGTATAGCCTCCGATATGTTGTTCGTATAACAATTAGCATTGCGGAGAACATCAATGGATAGAACATGTTGAGAAATATCCGGTATTTGAGAAAGTTCAGGGTAAAGGTCTGAGGCAGTTGATGTGTTTCATTTTCTGCCGAATTATAGTATATTGAGCAATCTGGTCATAGGTTATGAATTGTGTACTTATACATTCAACTCCTAGTGGTAGCTGCTGAACAAGCCAGTGTTGTTTGACCGGAAAAACTTCTTTGTCCATGGGATGCACTGTTAGCTTGCCACAGTTATGCATAGCAAAACCAGACAACATTGTGTTCATAGAGTGGGGTTCTGTCAGCATTGAAAATCGATTGTGCCCACCTTGTATTAGAGGTCAGTAAAGTGAAGGAAAATTCCTGTGTGAGGTAAAAACTTTAGTCTGTTTCTTCATTGGTATAAGAAGCTCCTGTAGACCAAGCGGTAGCACTTTTGAGGTTTAATAGATTGATAGATAGAAAATGAATGCCTCGAACAAAGTCGAGGTGTTTTCTTCTTACTGAAATATTGTTGTACTGTTGCTGGACAACTTGATTTACATCATCGAACATCTCACTCTGCTCATCGAGGTGCGTGCGTGTTTTACTCTGTCAGTCTTTCACCTTATTTCACTGCCATTATGTGGGACGTGCTTGCCACAATAGTGAACATAGGATTTTGGCAAGATAACATCTGAGATCGGTAGCGTTATCAGTTTGGTTGATCGTAAACTCTGTAATCATCACGTTCACTAAAGAAAGACACGTAAAGTGTGGCAGTTTATTGTGGACGGAAATATGTTAATCGAAGTTTGGCTTATGACATCTGTTTTGTTTTCCTGAGACTTGAAAAGAACTTGGCTACATTTGTGTAGAGGACTGCCTGTATTGTCAAATGACTCACCTATGTCCTCTATAGTGATGCCGCAATGATTAAGCCGTTGTCAACATGGGCAGACTCTCCTACGGCTGTTTCCATAAGCTTCTGAAGCTCAAGTCTGTTTCATCGACGATGTTGGATTCGTGATGACATTATGAGTTGTGAATAGTTGAAATTGCTGTGAATGTTTTAACTGCGAACTGCTTCAAGAGTGAGGTGAATAAACGTTCACTTTTTTGCTGCATGGAATTTCAGCAGATGTTGTAGTGGAAGAATGCAACTTTATACAAGTTCTCCTTTACGTTTTTTAAGAGCTGTTCACGGTACTTGCTGAACAGATCGTTATGAATGTCATCTTGTATATGGACATTATCGTGTTCTGCAATAGACTGACCCACATTTTGATCACGTTTTGCTTGTTTGTTGTTTGTTAGTGTAAAGTCTTGGTGTTACTTGTTACCAACTTTATAATTACTATGAAGTTGCGAAAGAGGTGCACAAATCCGGAAGCTAATTATCAAGTTGCGATATAGCAAGCTAGGCACTAAACTAACTGAGGTGGGTTGCGATGTATATTGTTGCAGTATCTACATGGCTTGATATCATTAAAGTAAATTGGTTCAAATTAGACATGTATATTTCAGTATGACTTAATTAATCATTTCCATGATGCCGTTTTATGTAGGTATAAGCATGGGCCCGCTTCTGGAGCGTGTTATGGAGATAGATCCGTCATGTGTACTTACCGCATTGTTAGCATCTACAGCCGTTTTCGGATGCTTCTCACTCGTTGCTCTTAATGCCCCTTCAACGAAATACATCCACATGGGAGGTGCGTTAATGAGTTCTTCAGTTTTTATTCCTATTAAGGATCGGTAATTTCTTAGGTACACTCGCGTCTGCTGCGCTGTGTCTGGTTCTTGCATCATTCTTTGCGTCCTATTATGCGATCATCCTCGGTGGTTAGTAATTATCCATACGTCTTTGATGTTTAGAAGTAAAACAGGATTTTTTTTCGAAATTAGATGAATATCGCAGTGTAGGAAAATAACCGAGCTACTACTTGAAGGTCTTGCTTTGTCGTGTGCATTCGTTGTCTACGATACCCAGTTGATTGCGGAAAAATCGCGCCGTGGTGACGATGACTACATCTGGCACTCTGTTGAACTCTTCATTGACTTCGCTAACATCTTCAAGTTCGATTTTAAAAACTTATTTTCCTTATTGTTGGTCGTTGTGTAACTAATAAGTCACTGCTTTTTGTAGTATGGAACACTTCAATAGATTTATATATAAAGTAAGACAGTATATATGGAGAGGACTTTAGAGACACGCAGTTTCGGTCTTTTTTCCAGATACTTGCTTGTTATTCTGACTGATAAGAGAGAGAGAGACAACAGGAAGAGAAGAGCATAAGAACAGGAGGAGAGGCACACACGACTTATCTATCGCTTTTTTAAGTGTTTACATTAGTGTTTACACTTCGACATTGTATCCTGTAGTTCCATTGATTGTAATGTGTGTTGAACCAGTCTCTTCCGCTACTAATATCTATCCTAAAATTCTTTTCGTCATTGCTTTGGATGATGCCCTCTGATAAAATTATTCCTCGGACATTGTTATTCTGTCCAAAGTTTTGACCATATAAAACAATGTGGATTCTCTCTGCGATAAACACACTAGTAATTCTTCTGGATCGACCTGACCTTCTATTAACGTCAGCAATGTTTAGTCAGTCAATGTTTCCTTACTTATCATACACGAGATTGTTAAAAACAAGTTTCAGTGGGGTACTTGCTTACATTAGAGCGGATTTCGCTCGGTAAACCATTCTCGTCCGTTTAATCCAAACATCGTAGAAGTCTGTCGATCTAGAGGAATAGCAGTCAGATACTTTAAGGACGGCAGGTGATTCGTAGCCATTTGTGTGAACATCCGTGTATAGCACGAAGCTGAATAATGCCCCTCATGGTAGGGAGTGCACCCAATCTCTTATTAAGTGTACGGGGACAAATATGACCAAGATGATAGACCATTCTTTGTCTGTTTGAAAGACCACTTAGTCGGTAAATTTAGAGTTAAGCCAGACGCCTCGTTAGGCGTACATAGGACAGAGACCAAACAAAGGAGATGTTGAGGTAGAAATGATCGTCCTCGTTGATAAATTCAAGATCGCGCGTAGATCCTCGAGACCGACAAATTCTAAGAATCCGGAAATTAAGTCGTATGAGGGAATTCCTTGTTATCACACGTGATGTCATGCAATATCTCGGACATTCTAATGTGAGAGAGGTGCATTACCCATCCATATGAACTCTGTGCGACTGGTCTCCACGTGGGATTCTTAGTGCAAGGCTTATAGAGAACGCTAAGTATTTTGAAGAAGCTGTTCTGATTCCAATTCGACTGAAAATTAGGTGTCGTGGTTTTCTGCCGAGGGTATAGAGCTGTTTAGTCTAGTAGGTTACATTTCAGTTGACTTTCCAGGCTCCGAGGAAGCGAAATCCGCCGAAACGTGAACCAGTAATGTATTCAGAAACCTTGCAACCAGGTATCGGTTCGGAATGAACGCAATAAATTTTTTAAACAGACTAGTGTTGAAGTGGATGGAACGATCAATGAACTATTCGTACAGCTGGTTCTGTTGATGGTATTGAGATGAAAGAGACCATGAATGAGAAGTAGTTGGTTGCATTCATTGCTTTTAGGGTTAGATCAACCAAAGGTGAGCTTCCACAAGGGAAAGTGTGTGATGTAAAGTTGTCGCAATCACGAATAATAGCAAGAACACTGAATCGCAGAGAAAGAGATGGATATAGACAGAGTGAGAGAGTGAGAGAGAGAAAGGGGGACAGACAGAGTAGCTTAGGCTATTGAAGGTCGTTAACACGCCTCGTATTTGTCAACATCGAGTCTTCCGACGATCTCGTCTATATCATATATCGTCGTCGTTGTATGGTAACACGCTTTACGTTCAACATTTGTACCACATATGAAAACACGGTAGATTTATTCCGTAGAAAAAGATGGAGGATGACAACGACTCTGCAGTAACAAAACATTTTTGTGAGCCTGTGTGAGCTCACGAATGGAAGTTCGTAAGAAGAAACTACTTCGCTGATTTATGCTGGTTTATTTATGTTAGCTGAAAGTTGTACTTTACAGTAATATCAAGTCGTTTCTATTCATTAGTGTTCAGCAACCATTCTTACGAATCGCACCAACGTTAACTATCACAATGACATTTATCTACTCCATCTTCTTCTTAAGGCTTTTCAGAAGTGCTAAATTACGCTCTCGTTCGGCTTTCTTTGTTCTCAGTTGATCAAGAGGCATACTTTTGTTTAGAGACGTTTCTAACTTTTCGAGTACGTCTGCTTCCTTGAACGTCGGTGTTGCACCGAAGTCGGCTAGAACTCGTCGAATTCCTTCACCGTAGCGAAAGAAGTAGTCTCGTATACCTGATTAATTCGATTTTCACATTCACATGAACCATACACGGGTAAACATCCAAGAATAAATGGTCATTTTAACTGGGCTTATCAAGAGCGCTCTAAATTATTGTAGTTTTACAAATGGTGGTTCGTTTGGGGTAAAAATTCCGACTGTTGTTTTCTGTCAAAATTAACATATTTGTAGAGAATATAAACATGATAGCAATACATATTTATTTAAGAGCTACTTAATAGTTGGTACTTGAATTGTCCGTCCTCACTGGTTGCACGGAGCCCCTGCATAATCTTTATTTCTCGGAGATGTGCTGGTTAAATTATTGTGGTTCCCTGGAATTCCGAGGTCAGTCTGGCCAAAGTCTGCCCCAGGTCGTTACCACGACAGGCAGTCGCAGCCCTTGTGAATCAGAGGGAGATTTGCCATCATGCGACTTTGATACTAGAACGGTGGTGCATCCTGGTTTACTCTTAGCTAGGCTTCCTTTTGGAAAAGCCAGAGATCCCAGAGACGGAAATATTTGGAGATAGGTCCTCAATAAATAAAAAAAATAACTTAGCACAGGGTCGGCATAGGAATGGCTACGCTAATCAGTGGCCTCCGTCAGAGATCCAAACCCGGCTCATGCAGCTCCTTGTCTTCCGTCTTCTCTTAAATCTTTGTCTGCATCACCGAACATTCCAGGTATATACAAAATGCGATTTCTTCAGAATTCCCCAGAAACATTTGGCGCCATTTTGCGACCCTGGTTGAGTGGGAAGTTCCGTTGGCGTGACGCTGAATCGAGTTAAGGAGCATTCATGCTTCATTGCGCGACATTCCTTGTCACTGTGCTTTTCGCGCATAACTCGGTTAACCAGATAAATGCGACTGAGAATGAATTAAAACTCTTCAGAGTCGTTTAATCCATAAAAATATTCGATTGAAAAAATACTGAGTTCGATAGAAGAAGCATTTTTTTGAAATCTGAACAGAAGAAAAAATCAGAACTGTTTGTTGGATAGCCGATAAGTCAGTAAAATGAACGATTACGTTGCAGAATTGAGCAGGAAGAGAAAGAAATCCTTGGTAACATAGACCGCTTTTCAACCGTTTACTTCACCTCTCAGCTCTCTTTGAGCTGAGAAACCGAGTAAACGGCGAAAGCCAAGTGCTACGAGTCTATTTAGGCTTCTCGTGAAACGGAAAATTCTCTGCTAGTTGGGACGGAAAAAGTATGGCTAGTTTTTCACTTTACCTCCACTTCGTTTTTATATTTTTATTCTATTATTAAAGTGGTTTCCTTTCTTTTAATTTTTTCATGTGAAAGATGACAAAAAAGTGTCCGTCTACCAAATTTTTATCGATAAACAGCATCTGCTTCACCTAGAACTTAACCGCAAGCAATTCTGATAAGGACAATCATCGATTTGATGTTAGCAATAGCCATTCTTCTAGCAAAAGTGTGTTCGTTAATAGACAGTAGGAAAAACATAATTTTTCCACTTTCCCCAATAATTATCACTAGGCTGGGATTCATTCAACGTGGCGTTTAACTATTAAGCGCCAATTTCGAGGATGTCGTGTGAACACTTATATTTGATGATATGTAAGTTAAACTTCCCGGGTGGCAACTATGTCACCTTCCTTTTCTTCATGAGACCATTCTCATAAAACCGACTATAAAGCATAGTGCAAGGTGTGGACACTCTACTCTCCATTCGTGAGGACGCAGGTGGACGATGAGGACTGTGTATTCACAATCTTAACTCTTTTATTTACTGCCTTTTTTCTTCTTAATGGCAGGATATGTTGTGAAATATAACTCGTATGAAGTGCTGAGATATTTGCAAAACTCCGGACCACAGGTGTATGCAGTGGGGAACGAACACGCGCTGCTCCCCGGTAAGGACAACAGCGCGTGTTCGTTCCCCACTGTGTATTCAGTTCAATAGTTTCAGGGTTCTCTTTCGACCGCACTATGTACATTGATCTGATCGAAAGTTAGCTAATCGAAAGGAAAACGAGACAGGATGGATGGGAACAAAAAAGGCGTTCTCAACTGTTAATGATTTACCAAAAAACGCCATGCTTGACGAGTTAATTTTGCGATGATACTTACTTGGATACTTAGACGGCCAATCCTCTCTGGTTGTGCGGGCCCCAACATATTCTCCATTTTTTCGAGTTTTGCTGGTTTAGCCATTGTTCCCCTGGAGTGCCGAGGACAGTCTGGCCAAAGTGTGCTCCAGGTCGTCATCACGACAGGCAGTCGCAGTCCTTGTGGATCAGAGTGAGATTTACCACCATGTGACTTTGATACCAGAACGGTAGTGGATCCTGGTATTGGTATACTCTTAGCTAGGCTTCCTGATCGAAACGCCGGATTTCTTCTCAGCTTGAGAGACCCTAGTAGGAGATGAATCCGCCGCTGTACGTCGTAGTCCGACACCCAGGAACACCTCTCAGCCACGACGAGGCGGTGAATCGTTAGGATTTATTTAAGCTAAACTATTAGAAATAAAACAGTGTAGGTCTAGATTAACCCATAATAGCGAGTGTGTCGTTCCCCCCGACGTTCACATTTGGATAGTTGATTACTTAGACATTCCGTTTCCACGAGTTTTATATGTCCCGGAAAGTTGTTCATTGGTTTGTCATTCTCTTGCGATCATTGTCTTGGTCAGCTTCAAGTGTAGTGGCAGCTATGCGTATCAATTGGTTGTCTATGGATCGCTCACTGTTGCAAAAACGGCTGCTTTTTGATTTTCCAGATGGTTGGTCGTTCAAGCAGACGTGTGTATTCTTCCGAAATCTGTTCTATTCTTCTTCTCTCCATCTATTTTCAGTTGCTTTTCTTGTCACACGACCAGCTCGTTTATGCTTAACCCTCTACTTGTATCTTAACCATTTTAGTTACTGCCTACTACAATTTTTAACGGCAGGGTATCATGTGAAATACAACAAAGATGATGCTGAGATATTTGCAAAACTCCGGACCGCAGGTGTCCGTGGTGGGGAATAAAGAAACGTCTATTTGTATTCAAGTGTACCTCGAGCGTGAGATGATTTAACCAATTTTTTATTTTATTTCATATGGTCTGCCTTCACGTCCACTGCGCTGTTCCAGAACATCTCACATTCGATTTGCTTTCTCGCATCCATTATCCACAAAGGTCTTCCAACTTTTACATGTGGCTTCGCCTGCTGCTTGAAGATTTTTCATTTCATTTTGAGAGTCGTAGAATGCTGGTCGAGCTGATTCTTCGTGGAGTTTTGAGATAGGCGGCCTAGAGCGTTCCCAATTGATTGCAGAGAGCGATTTTTTCCCTGGTACGTTTTTCCCAAACCCGTAAGGATCAGAGGCTTGGTGAGCCTGGAGCGAGATCGAACCAGTACCGTGTTCGTGATGATTATCGAGTAATTAGGTTTTAATATTCCCATATTAGTGTTTCAGTGGAAGTTGTCTTTTCTTAGCATCATTATCTTTGCATTGTATGTAGTGAGTATACTGTTCGGAGCAAAAAACTGTGTTCCACTATCGGAAAATAAAACTTCGATTGAATCGTTCAATGGATGTTAGCACATGTTGTTAGCAAAAATAAGATATAGAAGATTGAATGGCCAGGTAGGTACCGTATAACTTTTACAACCATATATCACTTGTGATCCGTTTAATTATCCAATGACTCGGACGGGTAGAAAAGTCTCCTCTGCTGGCTCTTTAACGAGGTGAATCTGCTTAGCTAGCCTGGATCGCTGAAGGGAAATGAAAATGAGCACGCTTTCGTATGTGGCCCTCGTTACCGATGTTGAAAGCCTTATAGTACCTTGCTATGTTCAACCAATGGACTACGCTGGGTATAGTCATGGGTGGCTTGCACTGGAGACAATTCCCGACCGTTCCATATGTACTTACCAGTCCCTTAGTTACGAACTTATAGCCGAATCCAACCTATGTTTAGAATGCAGTCCATATGCATGCAAAGAATCGTCGTACTTATGGATACAGTTAGGTGTATATGGGAAGCATAAGTGCATTTGACATAGCAGAACTTGGAAGCCGATCTCGTATATTCACTTTTGTCACTGGAATAACTAACTACATGACTTCGTTCTAACACATGCGGGAAGACAGTGATGACAACATATACCGTTGCTGAGTTCAGTTTTTGATGATTCGTATCCAAATCATACAGTGATATTCTACATCGTGACTTCTAATCTCAACTGAGGCTCCGAGTAGTACTCATATCTCAACCTCCTTGTGAATTTATTTCACGTAGTAGCCAGCCATCAGAAAATGAATAGGTAACAAATAGAAGTTGAGGCAATCATATTCTAATCTTTTTGTCCCGTATTTCATAAAATAGTGGCATAAAACCGTTGAATCTGGTGCCAATTTCCCTAAAATGTCTTTTCAATAAATATTTAACCCTTTTAATTCTGTAACCCTCTACTGTAATCCATCCTGGTGATAATCATGGTTAACACGTCCACGTCGGCATACGTTGACTTGAAAGCACATATGAAGGACACACGGGACGATATGCATTACTTTCGAAGCATTTTTCCTCTTGGATATTTCTTTCGTCGGAAAAAACTTTACGAACCGTTTGCATTTAGGTGTACGGTTTGCAGTGGCCCGTGAATTGCATAACGTGGTCCGAGACCAGCAATCATAACCTGAAAAGAAAGTTCTTGAACGAACTTATATGAAAGGAGATGAGATCTCCTACTTACTTTATCGATATCTTCAGGTGATAGCACATTATTGCCAACAAGTCGCCATGCTTCAGCAAGTAAAGCATATTGTAGACGATTCACAGCGAAACCGAGAACCTCGTGATGAAGACGGACAGGTTCCTCAAAAGAAAATTAGTACTTCACTGAATAGTGTAATCGTTTTTTGATCCATTTTCCTCTTCAGTACTACAATTCTCATTGTACCGCTGAATTCTTCTCAGTGTCAAAATTTAGTGAGAACCTGCATTTTCATTTATACATTGTCGTGAATTTCGTCGTAAACCTGAAAAGTAAAGGATAAAGCGCCTGGCAGTGATCGGTCTCTGAGGGTGCACCATTCATTTGTTTTCACGAAGCACCGCAGAGGTTATCCAACATTCATTCGGCCCATACAATGAGTGATATTCCGTAGTCTACCGATGTCACTGCAGTGCTTTTGTCCTCCCAGACAAGTCTGATAACAACACGAATATTCCGGAGAAATCGAGGTCTTGGTTAGCACAGAGTTTAGGAACGATTCGAAAATCCCATAGGCACATTTAACCTATGCACGTGCGACACTCTCCATAGACGCAGAGCATGTATTAAGCCAGAACCCTGACATTTTAGAGTAGAACATAGGACGGCCTCAACAGCATGATCCGTAAATTTTGCAAATAAGTAAAACTGATTAATTATCTTAGTGTCATCATTCAACTTTAATGCTTCTATAAAGGTTTAATGCTCACTTGCCCAATATCCTTCATGATTTCATAAGTCCTTCGTACCACAGGGTCACTTGTCCATGGCGCAGGGACAATTTCAACGAGCGTAAGATAAAGAGGTGGATTGACTGGATGAGCGACGAGGGACTGAGATCTGTATATTATGATGAGTAATATTTCACATGAAATCCTCGAAACGATGTTAAACACTGCTGATTCATTTCGTGTTTAAAAAAAGCAGAAGTGGCAAATGTTTTACGGAACTTTTACTGAGGTGTAACCATTTTAAAGAAGTCATCGTGTGGTCCAAAACCGCATGGATTTTTTTATTTTTTTTACATCGGAAATGTGCATGGAAAAATTCAATCACCTAGAGAAGCTCACAGTTCCCTCTATCGTTGGTTCTTGGATCCCACTAGACTCGTCAATCAATTTGGTTCACCACAAACAAACAAACAAACAAACAAGCAAACAAACACATAAACACACACAAACACACAAATACACACACATACACATACACATACATATAGACATACACACACACAACACTTTTTCACCAACTATGCGAGAAAATAGTACGTCGCAAGTCCTGCGTACACTGTCAACAAATTGCCGGCGAAATTTACCTATTTTTATCAGCAAAGGACGCCCAAATTTCCTAAGGTCGCTGATATGAAGGGAATAGTTATACGCTCCATCATAAACATTTTCAACGAGAAAGGGTCCGACGGTCCCGTGTTTTAAGAGCATAAAGAAGAGAAAAGACGATCATCAGAGGCTCGACTACAATATATGGCTACGTTTGGCGTTAATGTTTTCACTGTGGCCAAATGTGATATTGCACACATTCATCTGAACTAGTATAGAACAAGTCCTTCGTAGATAGTCTATAGGAACGAAGTAGCAATGATGACCACCGCGGTACACAACTCCAGATCCACTCCAAAGAAGGTGGGCTTAATATCGTGAGACCAAACACTGGTGTTAGGGATATTAAACATAGACTACGCCACGTTTTTTGTCAATGAACAGCTTTTACCACATGAACTGTCAGCAAGCAGTGCAGCACTATGCGAAACAGCAACCTCCCTAAAGAAGAAATTTCTAGGATTCCATTGACCACCGGTGATTGAAGGTTAAGAGATCTAATGAACGAGTGAAAAAGTAGTTACATACGAGTGATAAAGGAGGTAAGTAATATTTTCAGCATCTCTCGTAAATTTATAATACATCCACATATATTTCTCGCAACATGATAGTTCAATTGTCCAAGTTTCACACTGGTCATGCGCTTAGATTTTATGAACTATCTATTCTCTGTAGGAAAGTCAATAATTACCGATGAGAAAGACTTCCGGTGAACGTTGATGCAGGGATTGTTGATGTGCTGCTAGCCAGTATAGTATCTGACGAGGCCCATAAATCCATCTCAGCAAAGATTTTCCTCTTAAACTCAACATCTTCACATGTGGATTCCTGAAAGTATTGTCATTTAGCTTATTGTTGGCTAACGTGCATATGCCATATGCTTAGATTTGGAAAGGTTCATGGATTTCTATTCATAAATGGAGAAAGAAGAGTACTGAAGAAACTTAACCTGTGCATAAATAGCACCAATCAGTGCTTCACTTAACGTCGAAGTAGTCGTAATCCTTTTTTGTGCCACGGCCACGGTTATATCGCCTCTTGAAAGGCCATCGTTCTGTAATCCATTATTTACTTGATGTTTACCTTAACATCTACACGCTTTTGATGGCTCGTCTTCAAAAACTGCAGAAGTTTTTGCGCAGTCTACATCTGATAAGCATTTTCTTGGTTGGGAAGACTTTTGTTCGCTGCTGTCTCGTGATCGCCTGATGAGACTATTTATCATTATAGGTAGTCACCAAACTTTGTGCATCGCAAGGAAATTTGTCGTTTTGGGAGTTTGCAGCGCAATGATAAAAATCTGTTGAAGAAGTTTACGCTGAGCTGGATTTCCAGATGGACGTACCAAACGCCACAGTTTCTATTTCCATGAATAACTAGTTTCGCCGGAACACGATCGGGTACAATGCTTTTGTGATATGTCGTATTCTACCAACACAATACATCCTGACACCATGGTGGATACACTGCTAAGATGTTTTTTCTCTTTTAACCTTACTGGAGCTCCCGAAGTAATTCTGTCATGTCTTCCCTTGCTTTTCTATCCATCATTCCCCTCTTTCATGGAATTTTTCCCCTTTTTTCTGATTTTGAATTTGTTGCATTTCAAAGAATAACTTTAGTGATAACATAACACAAAGAACGTGCGCAACGCAGTGGTTAGAGCCGTCCAGTAATGAAGACGTAGTCGTCGGTTCGACCACCCCACGTCCTGAGCTAACCAACTCCTCCATTCCTCCAGGGTCGAAAAATTCATACCAGACCTATCCGGGAGGAGAGTACCAGCAGTGAGTTGATTTATTGGTAAGCTACCCTAAGTCACTGTAGAGATAAGATACTCATTCAGTGACCTCTACGATCATTTACTCCACGACGTAATCTCTATAGCAGCCATTTGTAAGCAGATATTGTGCCCAGTGCAACTTCTATAGAGGCCGTATTTTTCCGACCGTTTATTTAGGCGAACACAATCTTTTTCTCACACTTCTTATAATTGATCGATAGCTTATTCAACACATGCTGCGGCCGACGTCGGCCAGGAAAAACCTTATTCTGTACTTAAAACATATAAAAGCCCTTTCGTGAACGGGTTCACTGATCGGTGGTCTACCTGGGAATTGACTTTCATTTCAGATATAATCACCATATATTTATTTACATGATCTTATAAACTGATCTTCTTAAGCTGCTGCGAGGTTGGTATAGGCCTTCGTTGTCGTTGTTGTTCCTGTCGGTGTTGTTTGTCGATGGCTGACGTTTCGGCGATTCCGTCTTCCTCAGAACCCGGACGTATTTCATATAAGAATGCTTTGATTATTCGGTGGAAAAAGAGGCTAAAGTATTAATGAAGATCCAACTTTTAAATAGACACCATATTGAACAGAAAGACTACTCACCGTGATGTTACGAGTGGGACTGGCCCACGCGTTGTTCACGTGGGGTGGGTTTAGAGCCTCTAGTTATTTTTCGGCTTAAAAACGAACATCCAGTTTACCCGCGTAGACCACTTTGTGTCCGCATAAAAGAACATCTAGATGGAAAAGCTGAAATCCGTCTAAACACTCCCCTAGGTACGCATAGGGCACAAAAGCACAACAGCGATGATTTTGAAGTGACTGTGTGGATCCTAGCGCAGAAATCGAAAACATCAACGCGCAAGACTCTTGAGGCGTTAAATTTCAAAAATCCAAAGATGAGCCGGAAAGACGAATGCCTCACTATAACATGTGACCTGGCGCCCTATTTCAAGATGATATTTCGACCCTGGGGTGTGTCCTGCTCGCGAACCCACTTGAACGACTCGTGGGCCAGTCCCACTCGTAACAACACGGTGAGTGTGAGTGGCCTTTCTGTTCAATATAGCGTCTATCTAAAAGTTTGATCTTCATTAATGCTTTAGTCTTTTTTCCCACCGAATAATTAAAGCATTCTTGTATAAAATACGTCCAACCTATGAGGAAGGCGAAATCGCCGAAATGTCAGCCATCGAATAACAACACCATTAACAACAGCAACGACAACGAAGACTTATACTAATTTCGCATCAGCTATAGAAAATCATTATATGAGATCATATAAATAAATATATCAACTATCTATGCCGAGATTTATAGAAAGTCGGTTTTTAGAGTTATAATCACTATAATTGATCGCAGCCATCATACATAATGGGCGATTATAAGAAATACTGAAACGGGTTCAACATAAGTCGCAGAACATTTCGAAATGCTGACAGCAATGTATCTGTATGAGTAACCATAAAAACGTAAAGAATAAAAGGATAAAGCTCTCAGCGTCGACCACTCCCTGAGGGATGCGCCATGCAGTCGACTTTATTAAGTATCACTGGAAGTGCTTGAATGCATATCTGGCCTTTACAATAACTCGCGGTGGCTTACCGATGTATACAGCCAGTGCTGCTATCCTGCGAGACAAGTGTGGTACGAATTTGCCAACCCCGAAGAGATGGAAGGTTTGGTGAGCCTAGGGCCAGGAGATCGATCCCATGTTTATTTCAGGGCGCCCCTAACCACTGCATCACACTCGCCCCTCCATAGTGACATGCAGTTAATAATAGCATACCGAACATCTACACCATTGATCAATAGGCAAAGTCTCTCCTCTAATCCCGTCATGTTCATAACCCTTCAAGTTCTCTAGCTGTCGAAAATTAGCGTTTTTTAGTTCAAAAAACCTAGCCATAGAAATTAGGCCTCCTCCCAAACAGACACGCAAAATTAGAGGCATCCTTAAGCGACTGATCAACTTCCAACGCTACACATTGTTTTAACACTATAATATTAACCTCATTATATAATGATAGTGAAATTGGTAGCACATGTTTTAAAAAATGAGCAATCAATGTCCAAATATCGAAAATTGATGCAAAAAGAAATAAAAAAGAATAAAGCTCTCGGCGTTGATCAATCCTTGAGGGATGCGCCATGCATTCAACTTCAATAATCATCGTTTGGAGGCAACTGAATGCTTATCTGGCCTTTACAAAGACTAGCGGTGGCCTACCGATATATCGAGCCAGTGCTGCTATCCTCCCAGACAAGTTTGGTACCAATTTGCCGAACCCGGAGGGATGGAAGGCTTGGTGGGCCATGAGTGCGGAGATGGATTCACGTGAAAATGGTCCTCCAATCACTGCGCCACACGCGCTTTTGCAAAAAGAAATAGGGGAAGAAAATATATGATGTGTGGTAATCGAATTCTTATGCAAGCCATTCATTAAGCATGGGCAATAAAGGCAATAAAGTACAAAAGGAACAGAGTGAAGTGCTAAGACTAAGTGATGTTTCAGTTAGTTCTTCACTTACGATGAGTGTCTGGAGGTTCTTCAATATGGTTTGCCTTGATGATTCGAGCTGATTTTGCGAGATGTCGTAAAGGCAAATCGTATAGCCGGCGCTGACAAAGAGCGTCGCCCAACATGTTCCTATTAATCCGCTATAAAATTGAAACGGTAGTTTTTTCCAATAATTAAAAAACAACGAAAAAAACTCATATAAGATTGCCTCTAATAGGAATATTAGCTAGATATGATCTTCCCAACGGTTTACAGCCTCATCGTCACTGGGAGGTGTTCCTGGATATCGGTCTACGATGTGCCGCGGGGGATTCATCCCCTGGTAGGGTCACCCAAGCTGAGAAGGAGTCCGGCGTTTCCATCAGGAACATAGCTAAGAGTAAGCCAATACCAGGATCCACCACCGTCCTGCTATCATAGTCGCATGGTGGATCTCCCTCTAATCTCCCTCTGATCGACGAGAGCTGCGACTGCCTATGGTAGTGAAGACCTGGGGCAGAATTTGGCTAGGCTGAGCCCGGGATTCCAGGAAACCACAATGGCTCAGCCAGAAAATCTTCGAAAAATAGAGATTATGTTGGGGCCCGCAAAACCAGTGAGGACGGATCATTCAAGTATCAAGTAAGTAAGCTAGATACGATAAGTACTGATGAGAGTTTAAAAATTGGTAAACAGAGTGATTCATGTACCTTCCTATAATTGCAACTTTCCCTTTCGATTCGCTCATAATAAATGAGTTCAGGAACTGATTCTAGGAATAGCTCAGGTAAACAGCTTAATAATGAGTCTGGAATTAATAGCTCTAATGATAACGTATCATTTATTGACCTGTTGACTTTACGAGCTTATGTGGTGACAAGAAGTGATTCGGCATTAACGAATCAACTATTCATTATTAAAATTATTGCCAACACTGCAACCCTACCCTGGCGCAGCTTGGAGAAAAGTGATGAATCTGCTTGGGAACGGAAAGCCAACTAAAACCGTTTACTTGTGACTGACTGTTCCTCGTCACTCCATTAGTAAAAACTTTATACAGAATACAGAGATGTAACTTCTTTAAGGGCAGCATTCGCAAGATAGAAGGGCTTACAAAAAAACAAAAGAAAAACGGAAAAAAAAACCGAACAATAGTGGATGAAACATTTCCAGATAAAAAGTTGGTAGCAGAACGAGAAAAAAGAAGGAAAAATCTCCAGAAAGGAGGCTAAAAATGAGGAGTAGAAAGGATGAATTTCCAGGTAGAAGCTGGCAATAAATAGAATAAGAAGGAAAGGTTATGTGAAGAATGGCTGAAGGAGTAAGCGTAACAGCGTATTATCTCCCAACGGTTTACCGACTCATCGTGGCTGGGAGTTGTTCCTGGGTGTCGGGCTGCGATATACAGCGGGAGAATTCATCCCCTGGCAGAGTCTCCCAAGTTGAGAAGGAGTCCGCCGTTTCCATCAGGAAGCCTAGCTAAGAGTAAACCAATACCAGGATCCACCGCCGTCCTAGTATCAAAGTTGTATGGGAGCAAATCTCCCTCTGATTCACAAGGGCTGCGACTGCCTGCTGCAGTGACGACTTAGGGCAGACTTTGGCCAGGCTGACCTCGGGATTCTAGGGAACCAGAATGGCTTGACCGGAAAATGGAGATTGTGCTGGTGCTCGCACAACCAGTGAGAACGGGCCGTTCAAGTATCAAGTAACTAAGTGACAGCGTAATAACAATGTATACGTGCACTAAAGTAGTAAATAGTTGGACAAATTTTGCAATAGGAGTATCTATTGGTCAGTGTTGAATTTCCAACAATGCCAATAGTTCTAATTTAGGTGTTATAGAATTTGTAAACAATGAGTTTCTCTCAGAGATGTCGCTATCGATGAGGTATCGAATTGCCTCGCTTGGACTAAATTGTATTCGTTCGTTTCCAACGAAGTCGCAGAGATTACAAATGGAACGACGTAATCTGTTAAAAGTGCCAACTGTCGAGCGCCGTCCGTGTTTCATCAAATGACTTGTCCTGTGGTTGTGATAGATAGTCTTATCTTCATCACTCATCTGCTGTTCAGTGAATGGAGCACGAAGATGATGACTCCTTTCATGAATGAAAATTTGTACAATAAATGGAAAGCATGCCGCTCATAAGTGAATAAAGGATAAAAAGACAAAGCTCTCGGTGTTGGTCAACCCCTGAGGGATGCGCCATGCATTCGACTTCATTAAGTATCGCTGGAGGTGACTGAATGCATATCTGCCCTTTACAATGACTCGCGGTGGCTTACCAACGTATCGAGCCAGTGCTGCTGTCCTCCCAGAGTCTGGTACCAATTTGCGGACCCCGGAGGGGTAGAATGCAGGGGTGGAATGCTTGGTGAGCCATGGCGCGAGGATCGATTTCACGTGTGTACTGTAGTGGCGCCGCGCCTTCAAACACTGCGCTACACGTGCCCTTAGTATCCGCGTTTGTCATAAGTGGATATGAGAAAGAAACAGGGTGAAAATACTTCGATTTCGGGATGATCGATCGTACAGTGCCTGTCTTTGTCCTAAAGAGGAACAAGTAGTGACGACTGCAATCGATCTGTTAATATTGATAGCCACATGAATGACCAGCCGAGATGACACATAGTGAAGGAACACGTTTTGTGAGCGGAGTGAGTGGTCGGCGATAATAAAATCGCGATGAGAGAACCACTAAGAGTGATGCTCCTAAGAAAGTGAACAACCTCTTCTAGTTCGAATGAACATGTCTTGTAAAGAAATCCGATAATAATGAAAGGATTTTATTGTAATTTTCACAATTGGTGAAAACTGCAAGCGGTACTGAGATACCTCTTCGTCACAGCACTAGCTCAATCTCAGATGTTTTTCGCCCTACAAGTTCTTAAATACGCTCCCTCACCTAGTCTTGAGAAACAGTTAGCTATTTGCCGTCATGTGACCACCGTTGTCCTGGAAGGTATGTAATTTCTTGCAGAACTTTAGTCGAAGTTGGTCCTACTTTCGTTCACTAACTTCATGAAGAAGTTTGACTATCAAATCTGATAAGAATGAAGCTATCGGTGTTTATCAATCCCTGAGGGATGCGCCATGTGTTCGACTTCATTAAACATCGTTAGGAGGTGATTAAATGTAAGCCTTTACAATGATTCACGGTGGCCTAGCGATATATCGAGCCAGTGCTGCTGTCATCCCAAACAGGTCTGGTACCAATGCCGAGCTGTGAAAGATGGAAGGCTTGGTGAGCCATGGGCGTTGGGATCGATTCCACGTGTGTGTTACAGGGCGCCTCCGACCACTGGGCCACACGCGCCACATTCAATGATAACTAGACTAATAATAACAATATGTATAATCACAATGATACTGAGATATTTCCAAAACTCCGGATCGCAGGTGTTTGCGGTGGGGAACGAACGCGATATTACCCTTTCCGGGGCTAACACGTTCACCACCACACCATACGGGTCCTTCGTTTCGCCTGTCTCTCAGCATGTATAATAATAAGAGTTTGGTGACCAAACTTTCCCACAAAATTTTTGCAAGGAAATCTCACTTTTCCGTGCCAGTTGTTTCAGACTAGTTGATTTGGTTTGTAAGATCTTTTGATTCAACCCTAGGTTATCATCTAATGATACATTGACATTTTTCCTTATTATATATTCTTTTTCTTCGACATATAATTTGTAACGAGTCGCAGCTACCTAACTGAATTAGCTACCACCCCGGATTCCAGTCAAAATGCTTCCATGTGAAATGTTTTGCAAGGTTCAATGTTAGGTAAGAAAAAAAACACACGATTAAAGTCATAAACAAACAGCAGTGCAACAATTTATAATTTAAATAGTCATTTAATGTTTTCCAGGTACATGGGGATCTACTGTAAACTTCCCGCACCTATTCTAAGTCAACGACCCCATGACACAAGTATTATAAAGTTATTATTGTTTTCGATTGTTTATTGTCCATCGTTGGTTGCATATGAAATAATTTTGTGATTATGTTGTGGTTTGGGAAATAAATCTTCTTACACTCCTATGAAATCTTCCCAGCGATTTACCGCCTCATCGTGGCTGGGAGATATTCCTGGATGTCGGGCTACGACCTACAGCGGGGATTGTTCGTTCATCCAGCAGGGTCCCCTAGACTGAGGAGTCCAGCATTTCCATCAGTAAGCCCGGCAAAGAGCAAACCAATACTAGAATTTAAAACCGTCCTGGTATCAAAGTCGCATGGTGACAAATCTCCCACTGATCCACAAAGACGGCGACTGCCTGTGGTGGTGAAGACCTGGGGCGGATTTTGGCCAGGCTGACCTCGGGATTCCAGGAACCACAATAGCTTAACTAGCAAATCTCCGAAAAATGGAGATTATACTGGAGCTCACACAACCAGTGAGGACGGGCCATGCAAGAATCAAATAAGTAAGTTAGTTCTACGTAAAGCAGGTGGTGTTTATCGATAATAATTTTACAGACAGACACATTTTTTCACCGTTTACATGGATAATTATTAGAAAAGAAAGTAGTGTAGTATTAAAGTGGAAAGCATAAAAACGAAGTGGAGGTAAAGTGAAAAACTAGCCAGACTCTTTCCATTCCAGTCATCAGAGAATTTCCCGTTTCAGCAAAGGAATAAATAGGCACGTAGTATCCGACATCTGACATTTACTCGGCGCCTTAGCTCGAAAAGAGCTGAGAGCACGAGTAAAGTGGCGAAAGGTGATCTATGATACCAACGATTTCCTTTCCTTCCAGTTCAGTTCGGCAACGAAATCGTTTATTATATTGAGTTATCGGCTTTTTGATAAACAGTTCTGTGGTATTTATTTAGTTCGGATTTTAAGAGATGTTTCCTCTATCGAACTCAATCTATTTCTTTTCAATCTAATATTTTTATTGATTAAACTAATCTGAAGAGCTTAAACCCATTGTCAGTAGCGACATAGAAGGTATTCGATAGAGTCTAGTCCAATTATTTACCCAGTTAACCGGGCTATGCGCGAAGAACACTGTGATAAGGAATACTGTGCAAGGAAACGTGAATGGTTCCTGACTCAAACCAGTGTCGCGTAAACGAAACTTCCCATCCAACCGGTCCTGTCAAATTGGTGCCAAATGTTTCTAGGAAAAGCTCACTCCGACTCACGAAAACCGTCAACTTCCTACTGAGTGTACTTTGGGAATACGGCTAAATAAGGGTTCCAGGGAGAGTCAACTCGACTAGCACTCGATGACATTCGTGAAGAAGGTAAAGTACACAAGTAGCAGCCAAAGCCACACAAATCAAATCCGGAGACGTTGGCTGATGGCGAATGTGAGACAAGAAAATGAATGAGGGAATCGAGGTTTAAAAATATTATTCCTATTTAAGAAAGGGACCAAATAGAACAGTGCACCACATAATCTCAGGAAATTTAGAGGATTGATGTCAAAAGGTTGATTTAGAACAAGAAGGATCCAGTGGAACAGGATTCTCCAGAACTGCTCATTTATGCATTTACAGCAAATCCCCATTCTAATAAGATATTTTTGTTTTTTTTTTTTCGAGAAGAAATGGTTCTGTGGGTTGAAGGTGACAAAGTGTCTAAAACCACTAATGACAAAGCGAAAGCAAGGAGCACACCGAAATCCTAGAAAGTGTTTTTGATGGTTCTACTTTTCTTTCTTTCAATTCGACTTATTAGGATAACGTAGCCGGTTCCGAAATGAATTCCCCGACTACATGTCATTAAAGGATTATGCTAGAGAACTGGTCTTGGACCTCATTGGCCGTTACCTATTTCATGACAATGGAACAAACGCTGTGGTAAAATAACGTGATAAGAACATTTGTGTATTCTGTGAATATAGGAAGGATTTCCTCGTAATGTGACAGGATTATCACTGCTTAGGAAAACCCCACCCACCGGAAACATTTTCATTTTCACATGAAACAGGAGGTTTCACAGCGTCTCATCACCTGCACCTCTTACTTATAATACGAGCATCTTGCCATAAAATGTTAATCCTATAGTGTCTAGATCGTTGCTAGTCCCATAGTCTCTTAACTCATCGCGTCTCGGCGCCACTTTCCATGGGTGGTCCATTCGTCGAATACCAGTAATTTCTCGTCGGCTGAAGACTCTGGTTTTTTAACAATAAAAAATCTTTTCTCAATAAATAAAAGTCATAGGGCGTTTTAAACATCACAAGATTGTAGAAGAGACTTCACTGTATCGTTTTATGAGTATTAATGGCATGTATGCCATATTTACTCATATGATGTTATAAAGGCATATGTGGCGCAGTGGTCGGAGGCGTTCTGCAATACACACGTGGAATTGATTCTCCCGCCCATAGCCAACCAAGCATTCCATCTCTTCGGGGTCGGCGAATTGGTACCAGGCTTGTCTGGGAGGATAACAGCACTGACTCGATACTTCGGTAGCCCACTGCGAGTCATTGTAAAGGCCAGATATGCATTCGATCACCTCCAAACGATGCTTGATGACGTCGTATGCATCGCGTATCCCTCAGTGATGGATCAACGCTGAGAGCTTCACCCTTTTATCCTTTATGATCTTACAAACTGATATTTTTGAGCTGATGCGAGTTTGGTGTAGCTTCTATAGGTATTCATAGGTATGTATGCTAGTATTTATTACGTGTTACTGAGGCAAATACATTGCTGTCGGCATTTGGAAGTATTTTGCAGTTTGTATTGAGTCTATTTGGTTAATGGGTTTACGTAACTACCGAACCTATGAGGCTTAACAACTATTTAAATTGTTGAGCCTACACGACGTTGATAAATAGGTTCATTCGGCTAACGTTTCAACGTCTTCTTTATCAGGGCCGATGATCCTAGTCGATGGTTCACAGCTGTTCATCTCGATGTGGCGTCTTCCTAGCCCTCGTGGAAACGAACAACTATGGACCATCGACTCTAAGGAAGGCGAAGACGCCAAAACGTTAGCCGAATAAATCTACTTAACAACCTCGTGTAAGCTCAACAACTTAAATACACGTTAGAACTGATAAATTCGAAGAATCGAATAATGATGAATCGAACATACCAACAGGGCAACTTTTCCAATACCATCGTCCTTGAATCGTCGTCAGTCATTGGATGACTGTAGACTTCATCATTCCATCTTCATCTAAACGTTCCCATGGAACCTCGTTAATGAATCTTTAAAGCAATCACAAACAACGCTTATTCTCGATTTATCATTTATGCGTAAAATAACACCTACGGAAAAGTCTATCTACACAAGTAAACAGATGCATTCATTTCACATACAACTGTAAAAAACTTATTGCACATTCATAATTATTAACCAGGAAAATACACGCATCTGTACAATTGTGGATATCACAGCAATGTCAATACCGATCCTAGTACAGTCCTCTACTATGAACAAGTTCGTCCGAATGATATCAAATATCGGCACGCAGTATTTAACTAAGCATGTCACAAAAATATAGCTTAGTATGTAAAGAATATGTCGCCCTGTTAACGCACCAACACAATCATCCAAAAACAAAAATATCTGTAAAACGTAGAAACGGAGGCGGAGGGGGTGTTGAAACCCAGGCGTGAACATGAACGTTCCACCGAATAAGAGAGGAGAAGGAAAATTACAGGATATTTACAACGTTACCAAATTCCTAGAAGCACTGAAAATGACTAGAGCAGATGCACTGAAAATCATAAATCACTCAAGGCAGGATGGTTTGGAAACATCTCCTTTCGGAATTCTCCGATCTCTTTGATACTTGATGAGTACCGCCCTAGGCTTTGAAACAGCGAGACCACTTCATTCCTAAAATAAGGCGCGATCCTTTTTAGTGGATGTAAGGCAGTGGAAGACGCATAACAAGAGTATAAAAGGATAAAGAATAAAATTCTGGCATTGATCAATCCCTGAGGGATGCGCCATGCATTCAACTTCATTAAGCACCGTTTGGAGGTAATTGAATGCATATCTGGCCTTTACAATGACTCGCTGTGGTCTACCGATATATCGAGTCAGTGCTGCTATCCTCCTAGACAAGTCTGGCACCAATTTGCCGATCCCGGAGGGATGGGGGCGCAGGGATCGATTCCACGTGTATGTTGCACGGTGCCTCCGACCATTATGCCACACGCGCGCTTTACGCCACTCTATGGGAATACTATGACAAAGTATTATAGTTTTCGAAAACATCCACTGTAATTCATCATAGACCTACACGTACTCTCTAAGCATTCCTTAAAGGCGTAAGTTAATGAGTAATCAAATCAACCATCACCACTGATAGAAAGTAGGAGAGGTAAACAAGAAAGATGTAAGAATTCCACCTGGTCAGTTGAAACGGTGCACTTCGTACTTCTTTGTTCCTATCAGACTGGTAGTGAGAATAAGGCAAATCAGAGAAAAGTATTTTCAAGGCAGTACCCATACCATGGATTTGTACCTGAAGTGTAGTAAACTATACGAATAAATATATAAACAAGAACTAGACAACGAAATCTATCGGTCAATAGAGTGAATTTGGTAAAGAGCGCAGCACGTTCACTAGTAAATCATTGTGTCCACCAAGACTTTCGATGGGTATTTAGGAGATAGCAAGCGATAAGGGCTTCAAGCTAACCGCTCCGAAAAATAACTGCGTCATTCGACTCTGAACGAACACAACTCAACTCACAGTGAACTTTATTGATTGAAATAAAAATCTGTGAAACGTATAGCTCTTTGCCAACAAGACATGGTTCCTTTAATGATGAAATATTGATTTTCTGTGAACCAGAAATCACTTCTTTCCTTTCTTTTTCGTCAGGGCTGGTGTTCCTAGCAGCGAAGCTTTGAGTAAGCATGATTTCTTCATGAAAAGCATGATGGAGTCCCGAATGCGTTCTTGGAGTTTGCAACTATCATGCAAGCACCATTAAACTCAGAAGTTTTCATTCCCCTTCCAGGTCTCGATTTCAAATAAATTCGAAATATATGAAAACTTAATGCTTCCTTACAACAATAGAGCTAATCCTCCTCTATGAGATTGCCTAATTTTCATGTCCTCAAGTAATATAAATATTCAAAAATAGCCAGCATCTATCGAAAAACCAGTGTCGATCATTACGTGTTAATTAGACGTTAATTTTACAAGAGTCAACGTCCAAGTTTATCATGAAAAAAAATTACTGCTGAAGTTATTCGAAAGCCAGCTTGTGAACTGCGGTTACTAATAAATCAAGGAAGGAAACCAACCTTTCCCCATAAACGGCATTTGTCACAACCAACACAGTCCATTATTCGGGAAATGTTAAGGAAATGAGATCTAAACTCTTCACGTAGCTCACGTGCATGGGACTCAACACCCTGAATGAAAATGTTTTCACAAACTTATTCACATTTTTCATTAAAGAATGTCTATTACTAGGCAAAATAGATTCTTCGCAAGTTAAAGAAGAACCTGAATCGATAAGAATAAAGAGGAAAAACTAGGTACACACGATGCTCACCGTAAATAATTCATGTTCATCAAACTGGTCAGGAAACTGTGCAATGATGTCTAACAACTCATCAATCGCAACACGAGTCTCCATATCCTCCTGTAATGAGAATATCAAAATGATTCAGTTTATATTACAGGGTATAAGGATCTTTGATGACAAAAGCATAAACATTCCACATTGGTGCCTTACTTCAATATTAACTAACTACACTGAAAAAGTTAACACTATAACGCTTTAAGGGAAAAATCATCCGAGTCAAATAGAACCAAATAAAAGCTACATAATAAGACCTACTGGAGGTCGATATCGTTAATAAGTCAAAGTTTGAGAATCCGGAACGAACTGTAGCTGGACCAGAAAGGACATGTGAGAACGCTGACAAAATTTCATCGTCATCCGATTTTATAATCGAAGACAGATTAGGAGATTACCAAGTGGTTTACGAGAAGCTGTAGGCTTTGCTAAGATACTTCTTGGTAGAAAAACTTTTCCTTCCGGCATTGTTTTTCGAGCTTATGAATTATGTTGTTCTCATCCTCATTGTCACAGTAGACATCAAATAACGACTTTACATTTGGAACAACAGATTGAGCCTGTGCGGCGATGGACGACGCGTCCAGTTGTGTTGGAAGCTTGTAGTCTTTGAGATCTCGACTGTAATCCGCTTTTTCAGAGTCAGAGCTCTTAACAAGACAAATAATATAGTACTATACAAAAACTGGAATTCGACCTGTACAGTAGTCCTCGACCGGTTTTTCAAACGATTGCAGCAATCACGCCATAGAGAGCGGTGCCTATTGGAATTCCAACACAAGGAAGGAGATGGGGAAACTTAAAAGACGCTATTCAAGTGTGCGGAATCCTGTACTTGTATTTGATTCGTTTTCCTTGCGTTCATGATCCACGAAGCTCCTCGAATAATTCGGGTGTTGGTTGCGCTGGTACTTGAGGATATCTTCTTCATGAATGTCGCAGAAAAGGCTGCTCGAGTCAATCCTCCTTGCAATCTCGCAGATAGCACAGCTAGGGCGTTCCCATGTGGACTGGAGAAGAGCGTTGGGAAGAGGGTCAAGCCAGCGCGTTGCTTCCTGATAGACTGCATCACTAACCACTCCGCTAACCCCCTTCCCTCGTCATCTCCTATTGCACATACATTCACACTCAAGCAGAACTTGACATGCCAATTCGGTGATGAGACGACATATTCTCAAGCTACAGCTAAACCCACAAACTAACCCCATCACCGTTCATCACGGTCCTAAGAAAGGCGAAGAAAACTGAAGACACTACGTTCCCAAAGGGTATAAGAAGACATGTAACCATCAAATTATGGAAATATACCTCTTCATTCCCTGTGTAGAACAGCTCCTTTTGCAGATACGGTCCAACTTTTAACAATGCTCGCAGTTCCAACAGAAACACAAAGTAGACGTTCTTTAATCTGAAGAAGAAAATCGAACATATTGACACTTGGAATCACACAGTGTGGAGTTGAACAACAGCAACTACATACACGAGCATACCCCTGAAGGCGAAAAATACGGTTATAGCAGAATATTTTTACTATTAATATTATTACATGGTCCGACATCATATGGATTACACTTCGCAGATCCCAGTACTTTTTGCATTCGATTCGGTGCCTCGCATCCACCATCCTCCATCGTTTTCGTACTTTCTTCTTCGTGTGGGGCCGTCTGCTGCTGGAGGATTTTTTCAACTCCGTTAAGAATTTCGTCGCATGCTGTTTCAGTCACCGTTCTTCCTGTACTGGTGATACTCTGGACCACAGGTGTATGCAGTGGGGAACGAACACGCGCTGTTGTCCCGGGACCCGGATGGTGTAGTGGTGAAGTGCGCTGTTCCCCGGTAAGGACAACAGCGCGTGTTCGTTCTCCACTGCATACACCTGTGGTCCGGAGTTTTGCAAATATCTCAGCATTTCATACGAATTAAAGCTTTTGTTCTCATTTCCACGAACCCTTCCCTTTGTTATGGATTTTACAACTTTGGAAACAACAACTCAAAATTGATTTCACCTTCGATAAGACGGTAGAAGTATTAAATGTGCTACAAATAAATCTAGGAAACAGATGATATGTCTGTTTGAAGATGTCCCACAAAGCAATGGGTGGTCTATTTAATAAAACTTTGGAAGAAGTTCAGCAAACAGCACCACTCTCCGGAAGCCCGACGAAAGACGATGCAAACGAAAAACGAAAGCAATTCAAATTTGATGCAATATATGCCCCTACCTAAAAGCTAACGGGCGCGTGTAGCGCAGTAGTCGGAGATGCCCTGCAATGCATATGGAATCCCCGATGCGATCCGAATCGATCCCGCCCCCGATGCGCACCAAGTCCTCCATCCCTCGGGGGTCGGCAAATTGGCAGCAGATTTGTGTGGGAAGATACATGGCTATACATATATATCTATATAAACATATATATATATGTATACATGCATGCGTATATATACACATATATCACGTGTCACCTGTAGTCCCGTTGATCGTCGAGTGATTCGAGCGAGCGCCAGTAAATCTTCCACTTTTCCCTGTCGCACGCAGGAGCAGCCTAGTGGGTTGTGCTCGCTCTACGGACTCGTCGAGCATCATATGTTTCTTCAAGGCTCTTTGCGAAGAACTCTAACCATCGGGTCGGTGGCCTTTCTGCAGTACGTTTGACATCTCGAGAAATCCAGTTACTAACGACTCTTCTCCATCGGTTGTCGTTCATACGCATTACGTGTCCGACCCACCCTATCTTCGACTGTTTCGCGTACAGAACGACATCTTTGATTTTTGATCGTTGATGCAGATCGGAGTTTCGGATCCCATCCCTTATTTTTGTGGAACGGGATACTCTTAGCATCGTCCATTTGACCGCGCTTTCGATAACGCTGAGTGACCTTTCATCCTGCTTACGCAGTGACCAGGTTTCTGACGCATACGTTAGGGCAGGAAGTACCATTGAGTCGAGAAGCTGGGCACGGAGTCGGGTGTTCTCTTCACTACATCCACAATGTTCTCGAAAGCTCCCCAAGCCGCTCGTTTCCTTCTGCTCAGCTCTGGAGCTAAGTCATTCATCATGTTGATTTTCCGGCCTTGATAGATATAACTGGAGCATTCGGAAAAATTCGTTCCGTTGAGCGTGAATGGGGTACGCGAAACCAATTCGTTCCTCATGAACACCGTTTTTGTGAGATTTAGCCGTCAGTCTTTCTTCAGACTTTATCAAAGTCGTCAACCATACGTTCCGTTTGGCTAATGTTTGGTGTTATAAGGACGATGTCATCAGCAAAGCGAAGATGGTGTAACTGCCGATCGTCGATTTTCACTCCCATAATATTCCATTCCAATGTTCGCATGACGTTCTCGAGGGTGGTGATGTCTGGTACCAATTTGCCGACCCCGGAGGGATGGAAGGCTTGGTGGGCCATGGGCACGGTAGTCAATTCCACTTGTGTGTCGCAGTGGCGCCTCCAACCACTACGCCACACGAGCCCCGTATATATATATGTATATATGTATGTATGTATACGTATATGTATATATGTGCATATATATATATATATATATGTACATGCTTAATGAAGTTGAATGCATGGCGCATTTCTCCCATCAGGGATTGATCAAAGCGGAGAGCTTTTTAGACTTTTATATAAACGTCTTGAACCATAAACCAAAAAAACCACAAATTCAGACAATTCCTTACCTTTGAGGTCCTTCCCAACTCCATTTAGTGCCAAAGCGGTCAGCAAACATCTGTGTATTACGGAACCATGACCCGGTACCAAAACCACCAGGAGCTCAAATAACACAAATAAGATTAACTGACATAAAAAGGATTCTATTATTTTTCTCACCAACCAGGTTTGTAACTATAAGCAGCGATAGAGACTGTAATAGCCGAGTGGAAGCCTGATATAAGTCTGTAGAATACCCGTTTCTCAAGACAGAGCCCTAAATATTCTCGATGAACAAGATGGTAAATCGAAGTAGATACATTCACTGAAACAGAACAGGGTAAAACTGAATCCCCAAAAAGATGGAAATTCCCGAAAGTAAAGGAAGAAAAGGGTGGATTTAGCAGCGCAGGTGATGAAAATAATGCAAATGTTTGACAAAAAGGTCTTATGAACAAGCTGACTCTTCAAAAGGGTTCTCTTACAATTGCAATACTTCTCTCGTAGCGAGAAAACTAACCTGTAGTGATTAGCAACTAGATGTTTAGTTATATACAAACATAATATTATACTACACAGTTTACTGCCTAATCGTTGTCTACTAATTCACTGGGACTTTGAATGAAGGTCGAGAGTGATTTTCTCCAGCATTCCGAGATATTTACATGGATGCTTGGATGGCTTGTCTTCACTGGTTATGCGAGCCTCAGCATAACTTCTATTTCTCGGAGTTTTGCTGGTTTAGCCAATATGGTTCCCTGGAGTCCCAAGGTCGGCCTGGCCAAAGTCTACACCAGGTCGTCACCACGACAGGCAGTTGCAGCACTTGTGGATCAGGGGAAGATTTGCCACCATGAGACTAGTTTAATAGCAGGACAGCGGTGGATCTTGGTATTGGTTTACTATTAGCTGGGCATCCTGTTTGACACTCCCGCCTCCTTCTGTTTGGGCGGCCCTGCTGGAGGGAATAATTATCCCGCTGTACATCGTAGACTGACACTCATGAACACCTCTCCCAGCCACGAAGACGCGGTAAGCCGTTTGGGATGATGAAGATGTTAATTAATGTGAAATTATTCAAATCTATTGCAGTGATCGATACTTGAATTCTTTCTTTCAATAACTTTTAAGGAGTAAACAGAAGAGGAGAAATAAACCAAGAAAAATCCACCGGGTCTAAACAAAACGGAAGAAACCACACCTTCATATAAACCGACTACATTTAAGTGAGATTAGTGCCAAAAACGTACCTTCTGCAAAAGTGAAGTTATGACGCAAAATCATATAGTGTTAGATATACAATAATATAAAACGGCTTTAGTCAAAATGCATTTTACAGTAGGAGACTGAGAATGGCAAAAACAGCTGTAAAACGAGGAACTGAATGAATGTAAAAAAAACCAAACTCACCGAAGTTATTCGGATTCATCAGAAAGTTTTTGTCAAACTTCATATCGGGCCTAAAAAATAGGATCAAGGAAGGAGGAAATACAGTAGGATGTTCGGAACAGAAGCAATAAAAACTAAAGAGAAATATGGGTTACAAAGAGGAAAAGCAATGAAACGAGGATTACTTGAAACAATTCTCTTGATAAATACATTTCCATACACGGATAGCCGACTCTCCTTTGTATCCTGTGTAACGTTCGGGATTCTTGGATAGATCTACGTAGTGCATATTCTCAGAATCTTCATCTAAATATACATATAATAGATAAAATGAATAATACCTACTAATGGACTACATGCCTAGTTCCATCGAAAAAAACAAACTAAACATTAAGAAACTTGTTGACGGGTGATTGTTGATAGCACCTATAAGTCAATAACATGGCCGATAAAAGGGCGAAATGAAGGACTCCCATGGTGCGGTGGTGAACGACTTAGTCCCCGGAAAGAGTAATAGCGTGTTTGATCCCCATCGCAGACAGCAGCGGTCCGGAGTTTGAACATTAAGAATTGAAACCGATGGAATGCACTTGCGCGATTTCTCTAACTCATAATCAAACCAACAAAAGTAGTAAAAGTAGAGATGTAAAAACTAAAAAGGGAAAAGAACCACGCACCTTCCATTTCACAAAACTTATTCTCTTGATCGTCATGTATGTCCATATCTTTCAGTTGTTCCCGATGACCTTCGTCCAGGCTTCGATCCATCGGGTCGAAATCATTACTCCGTTGTCCGGCACAATCCTGAACTGTTGAGGTGCTGACGATGTCGGGTGTTGTGTGATTTTGGCAGACGGGAATCCGTTCGTTATCCGTCGTATTATTGTTCAACACCTTGTCGTTCACATAGAGACGCACCGTAGTTATAACAGCAGGACGTCTGAGTCCGTCCGGTACTTCATCATCACAGAAAGCAATACCGCATTGTTTTGAACCGCACTGACGATCATCCGACCAGAACGGACACGGTGCGTCCATGTTCACCTGAAAAAACAAGCAGAACAACTCTTTTCCTATTCTCTGGATGAGCAAACACGAGGTTGTTAATTTATTCTTTATTTATAAACACGCTGACGTTCCGGCGGGCTTCCCCTTCCCAAGAGCCTGGAGGGGTTAAAGCTGACTGCAATCCACTCAGCCAAATACTTACATAACCAAGCAGAGTACCGGTTTGGTTATGGAGGTGTTTGGCTGGCTAGATTGCAGTCTTCTTCTGAATCAGAGATATTTACATCCTGAGAAGAAACTTAGAAACACAGAGAGGACAAGTCTTAGAAACCGGCTTTCTCTAGACATCTGTAACAGCAACCAATAATTTACCACATGACTGAGCTGATAGGAGGTTGGTATAAAGAAACTACAAAGTTGTCTATACTAACCTCGTCAGAGTTCAATCATACAGAAGACACTAAGGACGTCTTAACAGTCTTTTATACAACGTTTACCTTCCGAAGTAAGAAGGCAAGAGTCAATCGATACCTACGAAAATTACTGAGAAACGAAATCAACAGAAAGTATTGCTGTTCTGATGTCGACTGAAACAGAACATCAGTGGTAAACAAATACTAAACAAGTAGCAACAGTAAAACAGTAAGTATCAAGTAAGTATTACTAAGTTAGAAAGAACCATTGAAGACGGGCCATCCAAGTACTCAAGTATGTTGGAAAGAGAAGATCATACAGATCTACAAAGAAAAACTCAAAAAAGAAAAGAATGAAATTTGTAGAGAAAACAACGACTTACTCGATAGAATCGGAAGAAATCTCTCTTGAGAAGTTTTTGTAGTTTGTCGTAAATTTGAACATTATTGAAATGATCGATGTTCGACGGTTCGTCACACCGACACGATTCCACTGCTTCGCCGATCTTACAGAAACACGGTTCTGAATCATGGAACTGACCATTGCTCAGGAAGAATAGGCCAAAAATCCAGAGAAATAACCACATCTGGACGAAAGACCTGAAAAAAGTGAAAGAAATAGTGTAACATGAGAACGAGACGGGACAGCGAACCGGAATTGATCACATTTCAGAACGCATCGTTGTCTAGTAGATCCAGTGATAATGGGCATTCCCATTCGGAAAAAGTTTTAGGTACAAAGAATTGGCTAAATGAATCGCGAACAATGTTGATGGACTTGGTGGGAAATGATTGAGGATCACTCTAGCCGGTCTCACAGTTGGCTTCACAAGAACGGCGAACACCGCTCGGATCGACCGGTCGAACCGCTCCAGAAGCAAACAACAATCGACCGACAACAAGAATCCTGGAACCGGAAAGTATTTCGGGCTATAAGGGCCTTTACTAAAGTTACCTAAGTTTCAGTATCTTGACTTCTTCACAGAGTTTTAAGAAGAGTAAAGAAAAATAAGATATAACATGATGAATGTAAAAAGAAAGAAAAGAAAAAAAGAAATCCCTATCAGATCGGTAAAAACGGCAGTAAAGATGAACTGCCATTCGGCTGAAACATTAAATGAAGTCATCTGATAGAAAAAACCAAACATTAAATTCAGTAATGACCAAATTAGAGAAAAAATGCATCGAAACTACCCCATCCCACTGGAAAGTACTTAAGAACCTTAAGGTTTAATCCTAAAGAACCTTAAAGAAAAACACTTCGAAACTTCATGATATTAGACAGGACGTTAACCAACAGATTTCAGTCGTCTGGACGCTAGCCAGAGGATTCGAACGCAAATAAACCATATACTATTCAAGTCATACTAGTACACGTAGTATTAGAAACTATCGTGACGATGTAGCCGCGTCGCTCTGGCCGGTGGCGCTGCGGTCAGGAAGCGGCCGGATTCCAGATAGGCGGTAATCCGCAACCGGAACAGGTTCGTCAGAAGAATGCGGAGAGGAGAATCGGATGGGAGCTGAGGAGGAAGAGGTTTCCGACGAAAGCATGAGATGGGATTCACCTAGTAGTGAGAGCTGTATGGTTGTTGTGGTGAGAAATCCACTGGAGACCGGATGCATCGTAAAGAACAACTGTTTTTCGTCTTCGACTTTCATTACTACTAAATAATTTCTTTAGCGATTTCAGAAAAATGACATTTAGTTGCCCGTAGTGCAGTTGCAGTGAAGCTAATCACCAGCAGTAAGGTTCTTGTTCGACGCCGAGACGGGATGGCCAAGTCTCTCATCCCTCCTAGGGATTGGGAAATTGTTACCAGATTTGTCTGAGAAAACTCCACTCCCTTCTAATCCAAGTAGGTACCCTAGCTTGGCTATCCCAGGAGTCCAAGGAGAATAGACTTGACCAGATTTCAACGACAGCTGTGATGAGAGGATAATCATCGAGTAGCAGCCGAATCCACGTCGGAAAAGTTCGAAGACTTTCGTGAATACTAGATCCTAGGAAACGAAACGAATGCACGAGGTGCCGGGATTCATACAGTGGAGGTGAAGACGGGTCATGTAGAACGAAATAAATAAGTGATAACATTTGGTGGTATCCGTATTGGCCCGTCGACTTTCATTTCCATGAGGTTTCAACCTATGACTAGTATTTCAAGTGCCCGACTGTCCGCCAACTTCCCAAGATTTCGTGCTAGAGTGAGGTCTGAAACGTATCTTAAGTCTTATTTCTTATCAGTAGGATCTTATAACAGTAGTCCAAAATAGAAACGATGAGAATCAAGATTATAGTAGATGCGGAGTTCTACACTAAGTTCAGGATAAACGGCACCATGAGTCAAGGAACCCCGGAATGTTAAACGAAAGCACAAAAATCCACGCCATCCTGAGACTTCATATGCGATTCTTAATGTGGAGATCAGCCAAGTAAAAAGTAGTAATATGGCATCGTACTGGAGACTCCAGCCAGACGACGACCATGATTTCGTTGTATAGTTTGTCCAGAAAATCTGTGTACATACGGAAGTGATCGGATCTCCACACGCATGCAGTAGACAACGATAAACATAAAGTTAATGTGAACCGAATGAAGTGCTTCAATTCAATACAGAAGAGAATGGATTATTACCGTGGACACAGACAATGCCAATCTATGAATGTTTTGGGATCCCTCCTCTTTCACACACTGATCATTGAAAGTGTACTTTCTATTTATCAAATCCATTCGGTTACCTTCAACACAGCTGATCATAATGAGTGCGATTACATATCATAGAATAAAGGATAAAGGATAAAGCTCTCGATGTTGATCAATCCCTGAGGATGCGCCATGCAATCGACTTCATTAAGCATCGTTAGAGGTAACTGAATGCGTATCTGGCCTTTACAATAACTCGCGGTGGTCTACCGATGTATCGAGCCAGAATTTGTCGAACCCCGAGGGATGGATGGCTTAGTGGGCCATGCCACATGCGCCCTTATATCGTGGAATATATAATGAAATGTGGAACGCTGGGATTCCGATAAAATGACATCAGGCGCAATTGGTGGCAAAGTTACGGTAATGGGAGCCATTATCGGACCTAACACTCACGTTCTTTACTGTACACTTTCTGCAACCACCAATTGTAGCGCACCTGCGGTGCGGAGCTTTGCAAATATCTCAGCATCATTGAAGGTGTTCACTCAGTTGAAAAACAAGATGACCTTTCATTATGTGTGAGACTTCTTTGCGTTTCGCACCGTCATAGCGAGCCGAATATGGAGATGCTCGTTTCCACTTAAGATGACATCTGCGAGTATCCGGCAGTTAATCAGGAGCAGCGTTGTGCTGTGGATAAAGCTGGTCAACATGGGCTACAAACAGGTTCAAAAGTAGCCTTCTGTGACAATACTTTCACCCGTAGAGGAACCATTCCACGGTTTTTAACGGAACTTCTTGTGACATAATCTGTCCATCTACTCATCGTCTTGGATTTGCACTCAGTTGGGTCATGACATCAATATAATACTCGGATACTTGGACGTCTGGATAGCCCTTCTTCACTAGTCGTGTGGACTCCAGCATAATTTCCATTTCTCGGAGATTTGCTGATTTAGCCGTTGTTTCCTGGAGTTCCAAGATCAACTTTGCCGAAACCTTCCTCACGTCGTCACCACCCCTGGCAGTGCTCAGCTTTGTGGATTAGAGATTTAGAGAGAGCTCAAAGCAAATGGTTCGAAATCAATCATGTCTGCTCAGTGCCTCCGTGAAAAAGGTCAGAAGGAAGTGAGCGAAGTAAATATCTTTACATCTGTAGAAAACCGTTGCAGAATTTCTCCTTAAAATACCTATAAGAATAGAGTTTATAACCATCAAGTAGATTGGCACAGATGTAAAGTTTTTGGTTAAACTAAAACAGTGCCTTCTTCTAATCAAAAGTATTGGGTTTTGTCGAGTTAAGTTTAAAACCATCCAAATGACCTCCAGAAGATAACCAATAGCTTTATCCCATCCCCAACAGCTTACCGCCTTCACATCATCGTGGCGTTTTGGTGACTCTGACTGTCAAAATGCGGCGCCGAACGACGTTCGTACGCCACCCTCACTTCCTACTTTTCAAAGTGGCCGTGACAGATTGACGAGTCTGGTATTTTCACGTCCAGATTTTTGCATAGAGAGAAAAAAAAACAATCCAAAAGAACCGCTTAATGGTTGAATTGTGGGTTGTTTCTTCCTCTCTCTCTCTCTCTCTCTCTCTCTCTCTCTCTCTCTCTCTCTCTCTCTATGCGAACACAGTACCGATAACAAAGAATGGAGGCTGTCGTGGTGAACATCCCAGTTCGAGCCACATGATGATGGGATTACTAGTGGTAGAGGGAGATGGACTCACATAAAACGCCCTTAAAAATAATCTTCATTGTCATTATTACTGAAACATTAATAAGAAGTAGGCTTCGATGCTCACTTTCGTTAGCAGAACTATTTTTACATAAACGTTCCGCCAACGTTGAAATCGAATACAAAAATAAAGACATACTTGATACTTGAATGGCCCGTCCTCACTGGTTGTGCGGACCCCAGCATAATCTCCACTTTTCGGAGTTTTGGTGGTTAAGCCATTGTGGTTCCCTGGAATCCCTAGGTGAGCTTGGCCAAAGTCTGCCCTAGGTCGTCACCACACGCAGTCGCCGCTTTTGTGGATCAAAGGGAGATTTGTCAACGTGCGACTAATTTGATGCGAGGACGGTGGTGGATCCTAGTATTGGTTTACTCTTAACTGGGCTTCCTGGTGGAAACGCTGGACTCCTTCTCAGCTTGGGAGACCCTGCCAAGGGATGAATCCCCCGCTGTACATCGCAGCCCGACACCCAGAAACAGCTCCCATCCACGATGAGGTGGTAAACCGTTGAGAGGGAAATAAAGGCATAAGACACAGAATTGAACAACTCTAACATTTATGGACAACATAAGCACTTTTATAGGCTGATACGAGGTTATTAATATAATAATTGTAAAATACGAGCAGCGTTTCTCAGGATTTTACACCCTTCAGGCAATAGGCTCTTCAGGCAGGTCACACCCTATAATATAGAGTAACAAGGCTAGAGTTTACTTGTTCGAATATTTTCGTCTTCTCAATGGAAAGTACCAAAACTTTTATTTCGAATGGCTTAGAAACAAATTTGTAAACACTTACCGTTTTAGTGTCGCCCACTTTTTAGAGAGTGTGACCAGTCGTGTGGTATTTATATGGACTTAACGGGTTTTATCTTATAAACACCGGTTTATATTGGACTGGTCTTTGAGTACAAGGATACCTAGCAAGTCGTAAATTTTGAGGCAACTCTGTCTGATTGTTGTCGAGGAAACTACAATTCCTTACAAATAACGTAAGTGTTGACCATCACTTAGTACATCAATGAAGAGAGAAGTCCATGAATAGCCAAGTCGCAGCCGATATCCACATCCGAACCCTTCCATGTCCTATAGACGATGCTTCGAAAACAACGAAAAAAGTACGAAAAGTAATGGAGCTCACATGAGATGTGAGGATGAGTGACGACGCGCGTGTAGTGCAGCGGTTAGAGGTGCCCTGCAATGTAAACATAGTTTTTCGTTCATTCCTACGCCTTGGGTTCATCTAGTATTCCATATCTCTGAAATCGTCAAATTGCTACCAAAGCATGGTCATTGTAGACAAGGAACGCAAGCCAGTGTGGGTGATTCTT